TAAATTCAAATTTGTTTATAAAGTTTTCTTGGAACACAGCCACACCCATTTGTTTACATTTTGTCCCTGACTGCTTTCATTCCAGTGGCAGTTGTGTAGCTACCACGGTGACCACCTGAGGCAACCTAAGCTTGTAAAACACTGACTAGCTGACCCTTCACAGAGGAGCTCTGGTGGCGTAGTGCCTAAGGCATTTGACTGCTAACCAGGAGGCTGATGGTTCAAATCTGCCAGCCACTCCTGGGAAGGAAGGTTGGGCAATCTACTTCCATAGTGATAATACCTTGGAAACCCAAGGAGGGGTTGCTGAGTCGGATCTGACTCAACAGCAGTGTGTTGTGTTGACCCTTCACAGAAAAAGTTTTAACAAATCCTGACCTGAAAGACCAAAAGTGCCTTTTATTCATTTTTGCATATTGACTGCTGGAATCATTGGAAAGCTAGAAATTTGCAAATTATTATTAAGTGATTAAGAGTTCATCCAAGTCAGGAGCCTTCTTTAAGACATTTATTTGTGTACTGTTTAGAGGGTTAGTACACTTCTAAGGTTCAGTACATTAATAGATTTGACTACAAACCAGAAGCTTGGCATTTCAATCCCACCAGCTCCACAAAAGATAGGGCAATTTACTTCTGTAAAGATTTCCATTGGCCTTAGAAACCCAATAGGGGTCGCTATGAGTTGGTATCAACGCAATGGCAGTGGGTAGCATTTACTCCTCAACACTGCAAATGATTTCTGAAGGTGTAGTGATTAAAGCATTTGACTAACCCAAAAGTCGATGGTTCAAACCTACCAGCTGTTCTGTGGGTGGAAGATGAGGCATTCTGCTTCCATGAAGATTCACAGCCTTGGAAACCCTATGGAACAGTTCTATACTGTCCTATAAGGCTGCTATGAATCGAAATGGACTTAAGGGCAGTGAGTTTTATAGTGCTGCGCTGGAGAAGTCAAAATCTAACTGGTGTGGTAATTTTTATCCCTTTCCTTCTCCCTCAGGTAGTGGAGTCTACTGTTAATGGAGAGGACCCCAAAGGTGCCAGAGGACAGATAGAAAATGCTTCTTCATTTTGTGAAAGCGCTGTTTGCTGATCCTAGACTGTGAAGATCATAAACTTTCCTTTTCATAGATGAGGTAACTAAGGCCCAGAGGAAAGCAGTATTTTCAACTAAAACTAAGGTTTCCACATCCCTGCACCCGCAAAAAATGTCTGCTAGTGTAAATCTTCACACTGGATGCATGCTCTCTTGCCCAGTTAAACAAAAGCATACTTGGTATCAATCCTTCTGTATACTTTTTGCTTTCTTTGTTGGACACCAGGGAAGTGTCAACCCTGCCCCTCCCACACACACACACAAAGTGCAACAGCTCAACAGCCATCAGGGAGTCTTTCTGGTCCTCCAGCCTCACCACCTTAAGTCCGGAGTCCCAGGGCACAGTCTATAACACTAGTTAAGGAAGCACTGGAGAACGAATTTTCAAACTTGTTACAGGGTATGGCAGGAGTGGCAGCCATGAGGAGCATGTTAAGATCCTGAAGCAATGCTTTTTCCCAGCAGGAAGCTGTTCCTTCAGGGCCCCAATGGATGCTGAACCCCTGAGCCCTCTAAAGCACTCGTGGGATTTGTGTCCCGTTTTGGGATGGGATAGGACCCAGCCTGAGAATCCTTGCAGGCAGCCATACAGCTCCCTACTCCCTGGAACCCCGCTGGTTCTTACCAAGGTTTGGTGAAAGGGTGGGTATCTCCAACTGGGAGGGAGGGAGGCGGGTGTAGGGCGAAGGTGGCACTTCCTAAAGACATTGGTGGCCATAGGAACCACAAGCCCAGGAACCTGACTTTAAGTGAGACTTAAATGCAAAAGCAGCCCAAGGGCATCCATGCTTTTTGGCAAGCGCTCAGGGCTCTGAGGGAGGTAACAGAGGGCACTAGGGCACAAAGTGAAACTGCAACAATCTTTTATTACCAAAGTGACGCAGGGCTAATACTTTAACCCAGTTAACAGCAAAACATCTCTAACAAGATCAAGAATGGAGGTGCAGGCTTAATAGATGGTCTCTTAAACAAGGGGTTAAAAAATGTATGTATCACACACCTGCTGCATACACATATTTTTCAAGAGTAAAATTCTTCAGGTTGCATAAAATAACCCAAACTTATTTCAGTCCATAAAAAAATAGCATTTGATAGCCTATGCTGCATTTAAAAAAAAAAAAAAAAAACCCACAGTTCCAACCTGGGATTAACTCAAAGAAGTATTCCTTCACCATAAAGAAAAATCTTTCTTCTCTTTGTTCAACTTCCACTGCTTATTCAAAGAAATGCTCAATAACATGCCCCACACACACACTTCTCTTAGCCTGTGTCTACCTCACACCCATTCCTTACGAATTTTCACCCATTACAATGAGTTTTATACCAATTGCTGGACCAGATTTCCTGCAACTTGCAAATGTTCTATTTCCTGCAGGAAATGAGTGAGGTCAGTGTCTCCAGCTGAGACTGAAATGCCTGGATGGGCACAAGGGGCCATCCTAATAAAAACACCCAACACCTTCTAATAAAGCCTATCCTACCAGGTAAAAGTAAGTAGCAGCAGGAGCCAAGCCATTGGCTATACCCAAAAGGTGTGTGTCTCCTCCCTTTACCTATAAAGGTGAGGGAGGCAAGGGAAGCAAAAGGACTGTCTTTGGAGAAACTCACCGACAGTATTTTCTTGGTCAGCGCCACACTGCAAAGAAAGCTCAAGGCCACATGGGCAGTCTTTGCTCTGTTTCTGATGGAAAAATAGCTGTTTCTAGACAGCCTGGCTCAGTGCTGCTTTATAGAAGCAGTTCCCCTTATGCAGGGTACTTGAAAGCTACTAGGGAAATTATGTTTCGAACTGGACATCAAACCAATTCTCCAACCACCAGAAACCACCAGTGTAGACCACCCTCTGCTCAGGTCACAGATCCTTCCAGTTGATGGGCTTCTTGCCAGACTTCTGCAGCAGCTCATTGGTTTTAGAAAAATGCCTACATCCAAAGAACCCTCGATACACTGACAACGGAGAAGGATGGGCAGTCTGTAACACGTGGTGCCGCTTCTGAAAGAGATCCAGGTGAACAAGAGAATAAAGCATGGCGTTCGGGTGGCTTCTAAGAATACAGCTGCACTCTAGAAGATTGCTGTTCACTTCCCTTTTGAACTCTAAATTCGCCCATTTTCCAGTTTATTTCCCTTCAGCAATTATACTACACAAACCCATTCACTCACTCATCATTCATTGCAGAGAACCTACCTTTGCTAGGCTCGCAGCGAGCCAACAGAACAAGCCTCAGCCCTTGATTTGGCAAAAACTATCTGTCTCTTAGGAACTCTGGTGGCATACTGCCTAAGGCACTTGACTGCTAACCAGAAGGCTGGCAGTTCAAACCCACCAACCACTCCTCGGAAGGAAGGTTGGGCAATCTACTTCCGTAGTGATACTGCCTTGGCAACCCAAGGAGGGGTTGCTATGAGTCAGGGCCAACTCAACGGCACGTAACAACAACAATCTGTCTCTTAAAGTGCCTCTACTCACAGCCCAGTAGTTCCACACCTAAGAATGTATTTGCCAAACCATACCACAACGCATAACCAACACTAAGGTATCCATATTAAGAGGTTCACTATAGCCCTGCTTGTATTAGCTACAGTCTTATATGAATCCATCATTATGGAATTGGCTAAGAATATTTTTCTAACATTCTTAACATAGAACACCATTCAGCTGCTAGAGCAAGGTCAAGCTACGTGGGCTGACATAGGAAGACCTCCAGAATATGTCAAATGAGATAAAAAAAATATGGCATAGTGATTCCTTCAGAATAAATAAAAGGAATTAAGTGATAAATGCATTAAAAACACTCTTTTGAAAAAATGAGAAACTATTCAGTTCCTAAAAAAGGAAAGGAAAGTGGAAGGCATTTACTTTCCATTTTACACCACTCTACATATTATTTGAAGGAGCCCTGGTGGCACAATGATTAAGTGCTTGGCCACTAACCCAAAGGCTGGCAATCTGAACCAACTTGTTGGAGAAAGCTGTGGCAGCTACTCCCATAAAGATTACAGCCTCAGAAACCCTGTGGGGCAGTCTACTCTGTCCTATAGGGTCACTAAGAGTCAGAACACACTCAATGGCAACAGGCTTTATATTGTTAGAGGGGATACTGGTAGTTCAGGGATAATTCTCGCCTTCCATGCAGACCTGAGTTTAATCACGGTCAACGCACCTCATGTACAGCCACCACCTGTCCACAAGTGGATGATGCTAAACGTTATTTCAGTGGAGCTTCCACACTAAGAGGACTAGGAAGCAAGACCTGGTGATCTAGATTCAAAATACTAGCAACAAAAACCCTATGGATCACGATGGTCTGATCTGCAAGCTATCTTCATGGTGCAGACCGTTCCATTGTATACAGGGTTCCCAAGAGTCAGGGGCCGACTCCATGGCAACTAACAACATACTGTTTGAATGGTCTCATCCCCAAAATGGATTATAAATGTCAACTGCAGTTGTTTGAACAGGAAGATGACACACCATTGTTTCCTCTTTTATTCTTTTCTGCATTTAAATAAAACAACCAACAAAATAAAGTATTTTAAAAAGTCCTGCCTTTGGGCATTTTCAGGGCAGTGTATACTATTCTGTTTGACATATGACATGAAGCCTTGGTCAAAACCCATAGGATTGTACAACACAAAAAGTGAACCCTACTGTCAACTATGGATTTGTTAATATAGTAAAATCTGCAAAAGCCAGAACCCATATAAGGTGGAAACCTGTCAGAGAAGGAAAACCCAAGTTGTTGTTGTTGTTGTTGTTTGCCATCGAGTCGGCCCCGACGCATAGCGACCCCTCCTTGGGTTCCCGAGGCAGTTATCACTACGGAAGTAGGATTGCCCAACCTTCCTTCCGAGGAGTGGCTGGTGGGTTTGAACCGCCAGCCTCCTGGTTAGCAGTCAAGTGCCTTTAGGCACTATGCTACCAGAACCCAAGTATTTTCCATTAAAATGAGCAATAAAGAAATGTTAAGACTGCACCCTGTCGAAAATGGAAAACTTGTGAGGTGGCGTCCACAGGTTTCACTATAATAACCTATCAATATGGGGTCATCAGTTATAACAAATATACCACAAAAATGCAAGAAATTACAAATGCTGCCTTCTAAGAGCTGAGTCCAGGAGGAGGGAATAACTAAAGTGAGGAGGTCCAATGTAGTTAGAGCACAGAGTTTGGAGCTAATGCCTCAGTCCAAGTCCCAGCTCTGCTACTTGGTAGTTGTTAACCGTGGGATGATCCTGAGCCTCTCTCTCTAAGTTGCCATTTTTCACCTGTTAACAGGGAATAACAATAGTACCTAGCTTACAAAATACCATGAAAAATCATTGAGGCTAAAGCGTACAGGGTATGAGAAGCTTATCCACATCTGGCAAGGAATAGAAGCCTCTGTAAATGTTGGCTGTGCTACACTTTGAAGGTGAGTGAACCTCTGGGAATTGCAGAAACTTTGCACTGTGGGCAGAGGAAGCAGGATGTGCAAAGCGGGGTGCAGACAAGGAAACACTGGAGTTGCAGGGAGAGGCAGACAGGGGCCAGCACCAAGACACCATCTTGTCAGCCAAAGCTAAGGTCTTCAACTGCTTCCAAAGCCATTATGGATTTCAACAGAGAAGTGACATGTTCAGATTTGCTTCTCAGCCTCTAAGAACTGACCTGTTGTTAGGCGCCTGTGAGTTGATTTTCAACTCATGGTTATCCCAAGTGACCGAGAAGAACTGCCCTATAGCTTTTTGGGCTGTAATATTTTACGGGAGTAGATTAGCAGGTCTTTCTCTTGCTGAGCTACTGGGTGGGTATGAACCACCAGGCTCCTCAATGGGCTAGACTGGGGAAAATGGGGAGCAGTGGAACCAAGAGTAGACGCCAGGCCAGAACAGATGAGCGTGAATCAAAACTGAGGTGTTCCGGTGGAGAGGTGGGACAAATCTGAGACCACAGGGAGAAGGAAGAACATAGATATACAATTAGATATGGGGAAGGGGGAGAGGTCAAGGATGAGATCAAATTTCCAGCCTAAATGATTGGTGCATAGTGGTACTTTCTAATCATTGGAGAATAAAATAAAACAAACCAAACTCATGCTGTTGAGTCGGATCTGACTTATAGCGATCCCTCCTTGGATTTCCCAAGCATTATCACTACAGAAGTAGGTTGCCCAACCTTTCTTCCCAGGACTGGCTGGTAGGTTTGAACTGCCAGCCTTCTTTCTGGTCAGCAGTCAAATGCCTTAGGCACTACGCCACCAGAGAGCTCCTTCATTGGGGAATATACAGGAGCAAATTTAGTAAGAAATAGAGGAGGAAAGGAGAATTTAGCTTGAAACATGTTGAAGTTAATATAAATGGTTACAGCATCTGGCTGCTAACCAAAAGTCAGAGGCTTGAACCCACCAGTCTCTTCGTAGGAGAAAGATGAGGCAATCTGCTTCTATAAAGATTTGTAGCCTTAGAAACCTGATAGGGCAGTTCTACTCAGTCCTATAGGCTCACCGTAAGTTGGAATCAACTGGATGGCAATGGGAATGGCCTACTTCTGTGGCTTTAGTACTTAAAGCTAAGCTAATAGATCTGCTGATTGTAAACCTCCCTAAAACACAGAGATTAGACATTACTCTCATCTGCACTTCTTAATCAGATCTTAGCAACTTGTGCAAGTCTTCATGCAAGAGTTTATTTGTTTTTCCTTAAGAAAAGTGAAAGAGCCTGAAAAGATCTTGTTCATTCATATAAAACCTTTGTAGACTCTACCACTGGCTTTGACTCCTGCATATTCACCTGCTGAAAGACTACATGCAGCACACACCCACACACCTACCCAGCTGAGCAGAAACTGCTCAGCATGGTGCTTAAGAACACAGAATCTGAAGCTCTCCAGGTCTGTGCTCTGATCTTGGCTCCACCATTTACTGCCACTTTGGGCAAATGACTTCATCTCTGTAAGCCTCAAGTTTAACAGTCTTCCGGGAAACTCAGACTCATTTTATGACGTGGATTTTCCAGGACTGCTTGGCAATGATTCCTAGAATTCTCTTAACTGATTTAATGTGATATAAAAAACAAACAAACCATACCCTATCAATGGCACTGCCTTTCTTCTGCGCGTAAGAGCCCCAGAGTAAGAAGACAAGGCCATTCGAGTTCTGATTTAGCCAAGACACAACTGCATCGGTAAACTGCTCCCAGCCTCTTTCTTTGTGAGAATTGGCTTGATGTGCTCGAACAGTGAGGACAGCGTTGAGTAGGAGAACACCTACGAACAAACACCAAAGAAGTAAGTCAAAAGCAGGCTACAGCAGATCAGCTCAGACAGCCAGCATGGGTGTCCCACACATGATGAAACCACTCACGTGACGGACTACAGTGCAGCAGCCTGGAATTAGGTCATGAACAAAGTATCACAACGTAAACAGTGGTTAGCTCTGGGTGCTAAGATTAGAGGACCTTTTATTTTGATCTCTGCCCTTTCTGCAACTTCCAAATGAACACTCATTATCATTCTTGTCACAAAGAATTGCTTTTAAAAATATCCTAGATGACATTAGGAGCTCTGGTAGCATAGTGCCAAGGCACTTGACTGCTAACCAGGAGGCTGGCGGTTCAAACCCACCAGGCACTCCTCAGAAGGAAAGTTGGGCAATCCTACTTCCGTAGTGATAACTGCCTCGGAAACCCAAGGAGGGGTCGCTAGGAGTTGGGGCCGACTCAATGGCAAACAACAACAACAACAGATGACATTAAATAACCCTAAAAAAATATAGGGAGAGACAGAACTCAATGGGACCACCTTATTTTTCTCAGTCTCACAAGATTTTTGCCTTTGACAGGGTAGTCTTACCACTTTTGTTAGTTTTAGTACAAAATAAAAATTTTGAGTTTTCCTTCTCTGACAGGCTTCCCCCTTTCACAGGTTTTACTAACAAGTAGGCCAAAAATTTTACTGAAACAAAAATCAAACTGCAAAAAACAACCGAAGATACTGGACACATTGAGACTAGGGGAATCCCCAAGACAGCTTCCCTGAGATACTCTTTAGACCCTGAAGAGAAGTCATTTTTTATCTAAATGGCAGGTTAGTTCAAAGAGTAAAAAGTATCACCCTTGAGCACTATGCTATCTAAAAAAATTATCTATATGAGACCAAACTGACATTTACTCTAATGCATAGACGAGAAGATTGGGGGAAGTGAGACTAATTTGATAGGAACAAAACTAGAATAGAAATAAAGAGCATGTTGACACAATGTGAAGAGTGTAACAAATATCACCAAATATGACATAAAGAAACTGTTGCATGGGAGCGTGCTTTGCTTATTTTTACCAAAAATACAGTATTAATCAAACGAAAAGAAACAACCAAAGAATTAATACTTTCCTTATTTTAACTACATAAAGACAGTTGATTATTATAAGAAAAAGAAATAGAGTAAAAAATCCCCTGTAGGTAGACATTAAATACACATACACAACCCACGTGTAGAAGAGTGAGGCTAGCTTTTATTCAAAACTTTGAATATTTGATCAAATTTAAAATATTAATAAAATAATAATAAAGAACACAGTTTTCTCTTTCAGATTATGGTTACAACATAAAAGAAAATATTGGCTACAGGCTAAACAATTTTTTTTTTCTTTTTGACTTACACAAATTAACCGTTTTCTTTTTATGGCTCTCTTTTAAATACAAACAAGCAGGACAGAAAGCAGAAGCCTGTTGAAATTAATCCATATACATCTGAATACCATAGAGAGGAGCTCTGGCGGCGTAGTGCCTAAGGCACTTGACAACTAACCAGAAGGCTGGCAGTTCAAACCCACCAGCCACTCCTCAGAAGGAAGGTTGGGCAATCTACTTCCGTAGTGATACAGCCTCAGAAACCCAAAGAGGGTCGCTGTGAGTCGGGTCTGACTTGACGGCAGTGAGTTTGGTATACCATAGACTGCCAGAAGAACAATCTTAGAGAAATAAAACCAGAATGTTCCTTAGAAGCAAGGATGGCAAAGGCTTCAACCTGTTTACTTTTGACACATCCAATTACTAGAAAAGGACATCGTGGTTGGTAGAGTCAGCAAAAATGAGGGATACCCATAATGAGGTGGGTTGACACAACACCTGCAGGAGTAAACTCAAACTTGGTTGATTACCTTGTTTGGCCCACCCAGACAGATCTCCATGACCAGGATGAACAAAACCATCTATATCTGTAGACAGCTCTTTATAAATGTTTTCCAAACTAAAGCCAGATGAAAAAAAAAAAAGAAAGAATCTTAAGTATAGTTCTGAAATTCCAGCAACCACCAATATACCTGCGAAAAAGTTAGAAATAATGAAATCCAGCCAGCACAGGTCAAATGCAAAATTATTTGGAACCCTGTTCAGAGGATTGCAGAGTTCTTAAGAAATAAGGTAAATACTGCCACTTTATCTGATTATTCAATCTGCCCAAGACTTTACTTTGGTCTCATATTTTGATTTAAAGCATAGCATTTTGGAACAACCTAAGTAAATCAGCCCAGCAGCTACAATCTCTTTGGCAAATGATGCTTAGTTTTATATTTGATATTTATATAGTATGTATATTTTTATATATTGAATATAAAATCCTTCAAAGTAGTGATTCTTAACTTGGGGTGATTTTGGACCCCAGGGGGCAATGGGCAGTGCCTGGAGACATTTTTGGTTGTCGTAACCGGGGAGAAGGGAGGTTGCTATCAGCATCTAGTGGCAAGGATGTTGCTAAACATCCTGCAATGCACAACACAGCCCCTGACAAAAATCTGGCCTAAAGTTATCAACAGGGTGAGACTGGGGAACCTGGCTCCAAAGCCTACTGGGAGTCTTCCCAATAGTCACACCTGTAATACACATCTAAAAGCAGTCATGATTGAACCTGAGCCAGCTATAGAGCAATTGTACCTGGGTGGAGGTGGCACAGGTCTTTGAACACTAAAGCAGAGCCCATGAGCTTGGTTAGGTCCATGATATGGATCCTGTCCCAGGATGACAACCTTCACCTGTGAACACCAAGTGGCAAGAAGTTAACAATACTATAGTTTGGGCAAGGGAGGTGTGGTGGCACAGTGGTTAAAGCATTCAGCTGCTAACCAAAAGGTCAGCATTGTGAACCCACCTACTGCTCCACAGGAGAAAGATGAGGTTTGTTTGCTTTCGTAAAGATTTAGTCTTGGAAATCCTATGGCAGTTCTACTCTGTCCTGTAGGGGCACTATGAGTCAGAACTGACCTGACGGCAGTAGGTTGTTTTGTTTTTAAATAGTGCATGCAGTCTAAATAAACACCTGGCTGACAAGAAGTCAGACAAGGAGCCAGTGGCACAGTGGTTAAGCACTTGGCTGCTAACTGAAAAGTCAGCGGTTTAAATGCACCAGCCACTCTGTGGGAGAAAGATGTGGGTACAACCTTGGAAACCCTCTGGGCAGTTCTACTTTGTCCTATAGGGTTTGCTATGAGTTGTAATTAACTTGAGGGCAGTGGATTTGGAGGTTTAATTGGTAACATATACAAAGGAACACAACAGTGAGAAGGCAACCCTCTACTGCCCCAACTGAGAACCCCAAGAAGGAAGTAACATCTTTGACACCACTGCTTGCCATTACCAAACGATCTTACATTAGCAGTCGCCCTGCCTCTCTGCCCCAACTCCTTCTCTGATGGATTTTTATAACAAGCTGGCTTTGCTTTCATGCTCATTTTTCAAATCACCTAATGCACCTTTGTAAACATCAAAGGTATCTGGTGTTTCAAAGACCAAAGTAAATACAAGTGCAGCCATCCAGAAACATCAAGAAATTAGTTATCTCCCAGTCAGCCCTATCCCAAACCAATTTCCCCATTTTAAATTACCCGTATATTTGGGGTTATTGGACTCATTCATTACTTTACATTTTATATTTTTCATATCATACATTTTGGGCATCTTTCAAGATAATAGAGAACTTAATCAGTGATGGGCAGCTAGCTTGTTTCCAAATTATTTCCATCACATAAAATATTGCTTTTTATTTCTATGGACTAGACTCTTAATCGTGGAGTTGCTAATCAAATAAGGTTATATTAAATTTTCATAGGTATTACCAAATCACTTTTCAATGCAGTGAAGCATTTCAAATTCCCTACTAGAGACACGAGGACACCTGTTCCCCTACCATCTCTAATGGATGAAACCTCAAGGGAAGGAGGCCAAGCAAATGGGCCATAGGAGGAGGCAGCAGATACAGTGACAGGGAATGAGGTCACAGGAGGTACTGAAATAAGATGGCTAATTCTTTCATCCAGTGCCCACCCACCTCTTCTTCTTTCTCATGCTTCTGTCCCTGGTGATCCTACTTAGTATCTTCCTCCACAGCTGACATATTTTTTATCTTTCAAAATTCCAGATTCAAATGTTCCTATCCCTCTACGCCTTCCCTAAGGGCTCACTGTCCCCAGTGTACTCTCCATAGGGAAGTAACCTGCCCCAGGAGGGATCCTTTTGCAGCCACGGCTCTGTTTCTGGATGAGTGGCCTTCGTTATGCAAGCTACTTAACCACCCCAAGCAAAGGAGCCTTGCTGGCCCATCCGTAACTCAGACTCCAGGCTTAAAGCTGTTTCGTATAGTTCACTGGTATTCAGAACAGAATTTAACACTCAAACAAAAGAGCAAACTAATTTCAAAACCAGGAACTATAGTCAAAGTTTTTGCTTTAAGATGCAAATTATGAAATTCACTAAGTGTTAGGCGTGGCTGTCTTATCAAGATGATTCATTCACCCATTTCATTTCTATTGGTTTAACAGACATTTAGTAGTTACAGGATTCCTGCCTTCAGCTTACAAATGTTGTTGTTGTTATGTGCCCTCATAGGGGCCCCTCCTTGGGTTTCTGAGGCAGTATCACCACAGAAGTAGATTTCCCCATCTTCCTTCCAAAGAGTGGCTGGTGGGTTTGAACTGCCAGCCTTCTGGTTAGCAGTCAAGTGCCTTAGGCACTATGTTACCAGAGCTCCTTACAAATGGGAATGGAAAAGAATAACAAAACCCAAATCTTCCAATGAGCAGATACTGAACACACTGTGGGAGTTTAGCCGGATAACAAGGTCATGGGCAACAGGCTTCAAGGAGGTGCTATAGATGGACCCAGTAACTTGATTTTCAAGACAGAAATGAGGACTGCACTACACACACTGTTGCACTCCAAGATGGAGAGAAGGGAAGTACAGGTAAGACAGGGATATAGGACATGGACACATTTATGGAGGGTCTTGCATGTTTAGTCCCTTCAGTTTACAGTGCAAAGCCAGAGACAAACTCATGAAGAGGAGACTGATGTGAGTGGAGCCACTAATCAGAAGCATTTGTGTAAGATGAACTAAACCAAAGGGATTGTCCAGGCCCTAAGTCAAAAGCTTCAAAGGGTCAATTACAAAGACAGTGTGATCAGACAGAATACTGAGCTAGAAGTCAAGGTGGTGCTGATTACACAAAAAACCAAAACAGCTGCCCTTGATTCCAATTTATGGCAACCCTATGTGTGCAGAGCAGAACTGTGTTCCAAAGGGCTTTCTAAGCTATGACATCCACAGACCACCAGACTTGTCTTCTGAGGTGCCTCTGGGTGGATTCAAACCACCAAACTTTTGGTTATTAGCTCAGTGCTTAACCATTCGGGCCACCCAGTGACTCACCCGCACTCTGAAACTTTTACTGAATAGTTTGAGTATTGGCCCTGGTACCGTCAACTAAGAGTCATACAGCCGGAATGACTACTTCATGCCTCAGTTTCTTCTCTCATACCACAGTGACACTTCATAATGACTAGGGGGTTGGCCTCAAGATCAAATAAAATACCAGAAATGATGGCTTAAAATATATACTCCTAAAAACAAAAAACTCAAAAGTGAAAATGTTCAATTCGGAGTTTGGTATGCAACAAATAAAGATTTCATAAACAGATTCTTAAAAAAGAAATGAGAGCTACAGACACATGATCCACGCATACATTTTTTTCTCCCCCTTTCTTTTGGCTGCATTGAGCAGCACATAGTAAAGTTAAAAAGTACGGCTAAAATACAGTCAGTCAAACCTCATGTTTTTATTTATTACTGAATTATGGGCAGTGGCTGAACTACATTGTAACTAATTAAGAAATATTATTTGATTTCCTCCCCTCTGTTAATAAGATTAATCACTTTCTTGTACTTACATCTTTTACATCACACATCTGGGTCCATGTGAAGACTTGGTGTGGGGGTGGATAAACAGTGTAATGTTTTCTTTCTTCTGAAACAAATCCCATTAGCTGATTTAAAGATAAATTAGACTTAAAATCAGATTCTCACTGGAAGCATAAGAATTAGTCAAGTTCTGCATGCAAATCCTTTTAAAGGTAACAGTTGCCTCTCCTCAAAGTTGTTCAATCACTTCAATACCCTCTCCTTTCTTTCTTCAAAAGGAGCTCTGGTAGCATAGTGGTCAAAGCTTCTGGCTGCTAACCAAGAAGTTGGCAGTTGGAATCCACCAGCTGCTCCTTCGGTAAGACTGATGTGGCAGGCTGCTTCCTTAAAGATTTGACCTTAAAAATCAACTCGGTGGCAGCGGGTTGGGTTGGTTGGCTTTATTTCTTCAAGGTGGTGCAGTGGTTAAAGTGCTTAGCCGCAAATCAAAAGGTCAAAAGATCAAACCCACGAGCTGCTCCCCTGGGATGATATGGCAGTCTGCTTCTTTAAAGATTTATAGCCTTGAAAACCCTATGGGGCAGTTCTACTCACAGAGTCAAAATATAATCGACAACAGTGGGTTTGGACTTGTTTTTTCTTTTTCTAGCCAGATCAAGCTTGATTTCCCCAGCAGCTTTAATTCCTTATTAATGTCTTTTTTTTTTGTAACCCCGTGCATGCAGAGTAGGACTGCTCCATAGAGTTTCAGAAGCAGATTACCAGGCAGGTAGGTTTAAACCATCAACCTTTCAGTTAGTAGTCCAGCACTTAACCTTACCTGTCTGTATCACCCACGGACCACTGATATCCTGTTGATGTGTTGTGTGTGGTGGAGCCGATTTGGACTCATATGGACACTACAAGGCAGAGTGGAACTGCCCCACCGGGTTATCTTAGCTGTAATCTTTACAGAAGCAGATTGTCGTATCTTTCTTCCACAGACCATCTGGGTAGGCTCGAACTGCCCACCCTTTTGGTTTCCCCCACCTTTTTGGTTTCCAGCCGAGCGCTTAACCATTGCCACCAGGCCCCTTTGATATAAATACATAATGATCCATAAATACTACACATGGGAAGACCTCACACACCACGCCTTCATTTCACTCCTTGAGCGTGGGGATATTTAACGGCGGGAATATTTGAGACTACAAAGGCAGGAACACAATACCCGCGGACTTAACCTGCTACCTAATAAGACAGTCAGCAGCCTCCACTGGCAACGTCCCAGAAGGTAACTCTCCACATTTACCTTTATAAAATACGGTTTCCCAAACTCCCCGCTGAGCTGCTGCTTCCAGCTCTCCCCAAAGCCCACGGGCACGTTGCGGGCAGCGAGCCTGAGCAGGGCGGCGGCCTTGTTTCTCTGGATCCGCACCAGCTGTTCCGGGCTCAGCGGCGATGACGGCGGCGTGCCCGGTCCGTCCTGCTCGGCCCGGGCCTTCTTAGCGGGGCTGGCCTGCAAGTGGAGCCCGCAGAAGAGGGTCAAGAGCTGCAGCGGCCCCTTTCCGGCCGCCCGCAGGTCCCGGCCCCAACTCAAGGGCCGTTTGCAGAAGATGCCCATTTTCGGGGGCTTTCAGCTCTGGGACCACAAGGCCGTAATTAGTTCAGGGCCAGCAGGCCGCTGCCCGAATTGGTAAGTCTGAGACTAAAACCGGAGGGTAAGGGAGGAAGCCTCCGCCCTGCTCCACAGGACCCGCCACTTTACGTCCCCACGCGGCCTTTTCGCGGCAAAAACCCTCCCCTGGGGCTTCCGCCTCCTCCCTCATCCGATTGGACGACGGAACAGGCAGAGCAGGCTGGTGGCGCACTGATTGGCGCTTTGGGCCTCGAGGCTCGTCCCCCATTGGCTGCTCCCTCAGCATGGCTGCCGGTGAGGGCCGAGGCGGCTGTTTTGAACACGTGAAGGCTGTTTTCAACTCGGGACCCCAGTTTGCAGTGAGCCACAAGTTACTGCATCCCCTCGGTCGCGCGTGGCCCACCGCCAGAAGCCACTGCCTGGACTCAGGCTCCCAACCCCACAAGCTCTCCCCGCCGCGCCTCACCGCCACATCCCGGTTCTCCTCAGCTATAGCTGCAGCCGCTATGCTGGTCCCCGGGTCGGCCGGCTCGGGGCTGTGTGCACGTCGCTTCCCAGCAGGGCTCGGGGAGAAAAAGGAGTAGAGAGTCTTTTGGCCGATCATCCCGGAGCCGAGGAGAGAGCGAGCAAGTGCCGCCCCGGGGACCCACGAATTTCTTGCCGCCGCCAGCGGTGGTCAGCATTTGGCGCCAAGCAGCCTGCGCATGCTCCGACTAGGGGCTTTGCTGGGGGGCGGGGGGCGGCGAAGGGCCAAATGCGCGTGTGCAGGAGAGGCTTCTGGGCGATGGGTGGGGTTTGGAATAGCCCTTGGGGGCCTGGATGAGGGCTGGGTTCTCTCCATTCATTCCCTCGTTCATTCATTGTATTTATTCATCATTCTTCTGCCTTTTGGGCCAGTCTCTCCACCTCGCAGCTGTAAAATGATTAAAATACCTACCCTATCGGACTCGACGGCACATAACAACAACAACAACAACATCGGGTTGTTGTAGGAGTAAACTTAAGCATAATAATATTTACTGAGTATGTACATTGTTTCATCATCCAATTTTCAAAACCCATTTTACAGATGACAAACTAAGGCTTTGTGTGGCAAGCCTTTTGCCCAGGGTCGCTTCGCTAGCCTAATTGATACGGTCGGAGGAGACTTTGGGGTCACGGAGGTTAAATCTCAAACTATGCATCCTTCAAATGGCACCACGTACACCAATACACCTGAATTTTTCTCTTTCCCTCCCATCCAAACTATTAGCATGTCCTCTTGCTTCTATCGCAAAATAAACCCTAAATTCAACTGAGGCTTTTTGGTAGCTGTAACTCCAGCTTGTCTCTTCTTTCTTACACTGTAGGACAATCTATAAATTCAAACCCTCCTGTGGCTTCCAAATAGGCTTCAAATAAAACCCGAGCTTCTTACACCCCCTCCCCCCCTCCCTAAGGCACTGTGTAGTTCCTGGTTTTCCCCTCTCTGACATAGCTCCAAGTGCATGACTCTTCACACATTGGCTGTCCACCTACAGCTTGTCCCTCATTTGGCCTTCACACGCTTGCACACACTGTCCCCCTTCCTGGAAAACTTCCAGTCTCAGCTGAGGACCCTTCTTCAGAGAAGCCTTCTCCTCTACTACCTTGTTGTTGTTGTTGTTATATGCCGTCGAGTCAAACCCGACTCATAGCGACCCCTCCTTGGGTTTCCGAGGCAGTATCACTATGGAAGTAGATTGCCCAACCTTCCTTTCGAGGATTGGCTTGTGGGTTTGAACCACCAGCCTTCTGGTTAGCAGTCAAGTGCTTTAGCCACTATGCTGCCCAAGCTTCTCCTCTACTACCTACTTACCTAGTTTCTTTCTCTCCTTGTTTATTGCCTGTCTCTACCTCTGAAGGGATCTCTGGTAGTGTAGAGCCTAAGGCACTTGACTGCTAACCAGAAGGCTGGTGGTTTAAAGCCATCAGCCACGTCCCGGAAGGAAGGTTGGGCAATCTACTTCCGTCAGGAGACCTCCTCGGAAACCCAAGGAGGGGTCAATATGAGTTGGATCTGACTCCATGGCAGTGCGTTTGGTTTTTAGTTTTGTTAGGTCTAACATGTAACCTTAACTGAGGGCTCCCAAGAAGAAAACAATGCTTAGCAGAGTAAAACTGTGCTCCGTTGAGGTTCTTTTTCCTTTAAATTTTCTCTATTTATTTTGTTGTTGTTGAGATTGTAGGTTTTTAATGGCTGATTTTTAAGAGACTTGAACCTCCAACCTTTTGGTTAGCAGCTGAGTGTGTTAACTGCTTGCACCGCATAATCCAAAATCATTTGCCCTTACATCCACTTTGGAAAACAGTTTGGCAGTTTATTTTCTCTCTCTCCCTCTCTCCCTCTCTTTCTCTCCCTCTCCCCCTCCCTCTTCTCTCTCTCTCTCTCTCTCCCTCTTCTCTCTCTCTCTCTCTCTCTCTGAAGTTAAACATGTACCTACCATGGGATCCTGCAGTCCCCTTCCTAGGTATTTACCCAAGTGAAATGAAAATCTATGTTCAGACAAAACCCTGTGCATGAATGTACATGTTGTTGTTGTTGTTAGGTGCCGTCGAGTCGTCTCCGACTCATAGCGACCCCATGCACAGCAGAACAAAACACCACCCGATCCCATGCCAGCTCCATGATCCCTGCTATACTTGAGCCCATTGTCACAGCCACCATGTCAATCCATCTCGTTGAAGGCCTTCCCCTCTTTCGTCAACTCTTCACCTTACCAAGCATGACATCCTTCTCCAGGGAATGGTCCCCTCTGACAACATGACCAAAGTAGGTGAGATGAAGTCTGGCCATCCTCGCTTTCAAGGAGCATCTCGGCCGCACTTCCTCCAGGACAGACCTGTTAGTTCTTTTGGCAGTCCATGGTACCTTCAGCATTCTTCACAACTCAAAAGCATCAACTCTTCTTCAGTTTTCCTTATTCACTGTCCAGCCTCGCATACGAGGCGATTGGAAATATCATGGCCTGTGTCAGGCGCACCTTAGTCCTCAAGGAAACATCTTTGCTCCTCAGCACTTGAAAGAGTTCCTTTGCAGCCGACCTGCCCAGTGCTACACGTCGTCTAATGTCCTGACTGCTGCTTCCATTGGCCTCGATTGTAGAACCAAGCAACGTGAATTCTTTGACAATCTCAATCTTTTCTCCTTTTATCGTGATGCTGCTTATTGGTCCAGTTGTGAGGATTTTTGTCTTCTTTATATTGAGATGTAATCCATACTGCAGACTATGTTCCTCAGTCTTCATCAGTAAGTGCCTCAAGTCATCCTCACTTGTACATAACAACTTTATTCTTTTTTTAAATATGATTCTATTTATTTTGTTGTTGTCATAAGGAATAAAACCACTCAGACCTCAAATGAAGAGTCAGAGACTGTATTTAGCATTTGGGAGATTTGGGAGTCAGAAACGATTAGCTCACATGGGTGTAAACATGGTGATTTCAAAGTGTAGGTCCTCAGCATGGAGGCATATAGGGCAAGAAGCTGAGAGATTACAATAAAATCATCAATTGGTTAGTTTTTTAGTGAGGTCACAAAAAGGAGGGTTAAAGATGCAGAGAAAGACTTTCATTGGACACAAGTGCTAAAGTGGCCACAAAGATTTACAATTATAGGATGTTTACAATGTATACTTTCTAGAACAGGTTATAAGAATATCTAGGCTCACCGAAATCACAATAAAAATTAAGAAGAAGAAGAAAAAAAGAATGTCTAGGTTGATGTAAGGAGCTCTGGTAGCATAGTGCCTAAGGCACTTGACTGCTAACCAGGAGGCTGGCGGTTCAAACCCACCAGCCACTCCTCGGAAGGAAGGTTGGGCAATCTATTTTCATAGTGAGACCTCCTCGGAAACCCAAGGAGGGGTCGCTATGAGTCGGGGCCGACTCGATGGCAAATAACAACAACAACAACAGGTTGATGTAAAACATTCTTTGGGGCCAGAGCTGGTAATAAGAATTAACACTAAGACTCTTTCTTTAGAAACTGTTTGCCTAAGTGAAACCATCTTGGTTGTCTGGGAAACTTTAGATAAGGCTGACTCCAAAATCCTTCCAAAACAATTCACTTTATAAAATTCTTGTTACAAGGAAATATTTCTTAGGCCTACTTTATATGAAAAAGACAACTGGGTCAAGATTCCCTTCCTTGGAGTGTATTTCTTTCACCTTTGACCACCAAGAGAAAACACTTTCTTAATTAACAGATGACTGAGAATATCTATGGGAGCTGTCACCAGGTCTGAGTTCTGGTGGACAGTCCAAGGGGCTATCTGAAATACCCAGCAGTTGGTGAGGTGGATGGTCTTGGCGACTGTTTGAGCCAGCTTAATAAACGAACCTTTATGTCAGGAGTTGCCGTGCAGTGAATTACTTAGATGGCATTCTTCTCCATAGTGTTTGTAACTCCCATGAGATTACTGGGTGGGACCATGCAAATAAGGTGTGTAGAACTCTCATGTTGGGATTGGTTAGTTTTGTCCCTCTGCCAGGCTTAAATGAGCCCTCCTAGGGGCAGAGAGGGGATCTCACTGACATTCCTGAACCTGAGTTGTATCCTGTTTCTTCCCTAATAAACCCCACAATTGTGAATATTGTCTGTGAGTGGCTTTCATGTGCCCGTATTTCAAGTACCAGCAGAGTCACCCATGGCAGACAGTGTTACCTGATTTTCCAGTCTAAGACAAAGAAGAAGGATGGGGCCGTTCACTTCTGAAAAAATTGGCCACTGAAAACATTATGAATGGCAGGGGAACATTGTCTGATATGTTATCTGATCTACTGCTGGAAAACTATGAACAGCCCTGAAACACTGTCTGATTTAGTGCTGGAAGATGAGCCCCTCAGGTTGGAAGGCACTCAAAGCACGACTGGTGAAGAGTTGCCTCCTCAAAGTAGAGATGGCCTTAATGACATGGAGGGAGTAAAGCTTTTGGGACCTCCATTTTTTGATGTTGCACGAGTCAAAATGAAAAGAACCAGCTGCAAACATTCATTAATAATCGGAATAAGGAATGTACGTATGAAGTATGAATCTAGAAACATTGGAAGTTGTCACAAATTAAATGGTATGTACATAAATCGATATCCCAGGCATTAATGAACTGAAATGGACTGGTGTCGGCCATTTTGAATCAGACAACTATATGGTCTACTAAGACTAAGCTCTAGTAGCATAGCGCCTAAGGCACTTGACTGCTAACCAGAAGGCTGGCGGTTCAAACCCACCAGCCACTCCTCGGAAGGAAGGTTGGGCAATCCTACTTCGGTAGTGATACTGCCTCAGAAACCCAAGGAGGGGTCGCTATGAGTCGGGGCCGACTCGATGGCAAATAACAACAACAACAAGACTAAGCAATAAAAAAAGGAAGGAACTACTGATACAAACAACAGCATGTACAAATCTCAAAAGCATTATGCTAAGTGAAAGAAACCAAATCCAAAAAGCCACATATTGTATGATTTCGCTTATAAGGAATTCTGGAAAAGTGAATAGGGGCAGAAAACAGATTGGCGGTTGCCAGGGAGGCAAGGACTGGGCGGGGGAGGGAGTTTGACAACTAAGGAGCCTGAGGGAATATTTTGGGATGGTAGAACTGCCCTGAATCTTGATGGTGGTGACGGTTTCACAACTGTGTATGATTTGTCAAACTTCTCAGGAGGTCCATGACCTCAAACATTCATCCCACTGGAGGAGACAGAGTAAATAAGAATCAGGAGCAGCAATAGAACTTGCCATTCCTTTTTAACATAGAAGCACTTCTCATACATCCTCTCGTTGAATATTCGTGGCCCCTCTCATGACATAGGTTTTGAAATTCTTGCATTACAGGTGAAGCAATTCAAGCCCAGAGAGGTTAAGTGACCTGTTGGAGCCCACACAGCACCAAGGAGACAGAAATGAAGCTGAGAGTCTGCCCGCTGAGCTCACACTCCTATCCACCATGATATGTTGGTGACTTAATTACCTTTCAAGACATTAAGATAATCTCCAGTGAGCGGTGACACAAACAATTCCCATTCACCCATGGTCCCTCAACAGTCAAGGCACAAGCGATGTTAAACTGAAGCGCCGAAATGATTGCAAAGCATCGAGAAAGCCAGCAGGTGGCGCCCGGAGGCTTCTCGCCAACTTGTTTTGCAAATCTCGCATTTCCCAGCTTGCAGTGGGATCTACCCGGAAGCAGTGGCTATGATCCGGGTGAGTGTTTTTTCTTTCCCGCCAGCCCCTTCTAGGATGCTTGCTAGATTCGGAGCTGCACAGGTGCTGCCTTAGATCTTAAACCCACCCCCGACACCCCCCCACACACACCCTCACTCCCCGGTGGCCAAAGTACGTGTTACAGTCCTTACATTCGGAATTGGGCGCGTGTTTTCATTTAGATTCTTAATCTATCCATTTAAGTGTTACTGCTAGGAGCTCTGGCAGTGTAGTGCCTAAAGGCACTTGACTGCTAACCAGAAGGTTGACGGTTCAAACCACCAGCCACTCCTCGGAAGGAGGATTGGGCAATCTGCTTCTGTAGTGATACTGCCTCGGAAACCCAAGGAGGGGTCGCTATGAGTCCAGTCGACTCGACGGCACATAACAACAACATTGTAATACTGGCATGGGTGGTGGGTGGTTATAAGTCCCCTTCTTCTGTGTGGGGTGAAAAGGGGGAAGGTGTTTTAACCAAGATTCCTAGGTGACTTTTAGCAAATCCCCCACTCAAGGGGTCAATTTTCTTTTCTGTAAAATGAGAATCTGGACTAGATGGTCATTTACACAGTTGACTGTGGCTTGTGAATTTCCGAGCTCAGTGGAACTTAAAAATTCTGGTGCTCGGAGGTTGGGTGCAGACTTTAAGGTTGCTAGTAGCCAGGGATTCTAATGATGGGAGGCCCTGGACCCACTCATTCTAGGGTCCTTCCAGCTTTATTGTTGTTATATGCCCTAGAGTCAGACCCGACTCACAGCGACCCCTCCTTGGGTTTCCGTATCACTACGGAAGTAGTGGGTTTCAGTATCACTACCAAAGTAGATTGCCCAACCTTCCTTCCTAGGACTGGCTGGTGGGTTTGAACCGACAGCCTTCTGGTTAGCAGTCAAGTGCCTTAGGCACTATGCTAATCTCTATTTCCCTTCCAGGTCGTGATTTTAAACTTTAAAATGGAAACTTGAAAATAGTGAGGCTTGTTGCTGTGGGACCACTTACCAGGACAGATTTTCTGCCAGAGAGACAGTGCCCGGGCAACCTCTCCCTGTTTCTTTGCCACGCCTCAGATGCCCAGGTCCTTGCTTTGAGGAAACAGGATGGACAAATTCCTGGTGAAGGGTCTTCTCAGGGAGCATTTGGGAAAAGGTGTGGAGAAGAGCTTGGAGGAGGAACAAGACCATGCAGGTGAAGACCCTCCTTTGTTGGGACCAGAAGAGGGGAGCCCAAGGAAAAGGCTGAGGAGAGACGCTGTGGAGGATGGACCTGGCTCCGCAGGGCCCCGCTGGCGGCACATTCGGGCTGAGGGCCTCGTCTGCGACTACATAGTCCTGTTTGACCGAGCTGAGGCGGACAAGATTTTCCGAGAGTTGGAACGAGAAGTGGAATATTTTACAGGTGAGGAGAGGACTGTGGTGAGTGTAGGTATGTGTTTTGAAGGCTTGTTTGAGAAAGCCACTGGTTTGTGTTTAGAGAGAGTCCTGGGTGCAAATGCTTCAGTGTGTGGCTACTAACTAACCAAAAGGTTGGTCGTTCGAGCCTACCCAAAGGTGCCCTAGAGGAAGGGCCTGTTAGTCTGCTTCCAAAAAGTCACAGCTTGAAAACCGTTCTCTGTGACATGTGGGGTCACCACTAGAGGTGTTTTTTGTTTGTTTTAGTGGTAGTTCTATGTTTAACTTTTTGAGAAGCCACCAAACTGTCCTAGAGTGGCTGCGCCATTTTACATTCCCAGATGCAATGGACAGAGGTTCCACTTTCTCTACAGCCTTGCCAACACGTGTTCATTTTCTAATAATAGCCAACCTAGTAGGTGTGTAGGAGCTCTGGCAGCATAGTGCCTAAGGCACTTGACTGCTAACCAGAAGGCTGGCGGTTCAAACCCACCAGCCACTCCTCAGAAAGAAGGTTGGGCAATCTACTTCCATAGTGATACTGCCTTGGAAACCTAAGGAGGGGTCGCTATGAGTCAGGTCTGACTCAGCAGCACATAACAACAACAGTAGGTGTGGAATGTGGGCAACAGTGTTTTTCAAAAGCTTACAGTGATTCTAACATGCACCACGGATGAGACTCACTGGTCTAGTAAGAGAAACAGACAAATAACCGGGGAACCCCAGCGGTTCTCAGCATCACCTAGAGGGCTTGTCAGAACTCAGATGGCTGGCCCCACTCCCTCAGTCTAGTTTCCGTAGAGTTTTTAGGTGATGCTGCTGGTTCAGGAGGTATACATTTGAGAACTGCTGGTCTACCCTGTAATGAACATACAGGGATCTGGCTGAGCGTTTGGAGGGAGGCATGGAAAAGCTCACGGAAGTTCCCAGCCTGAGCTGGGTTAGCCCCATCATTCATGGAGCCAGAGGCCCTTAGACCCCGTGGGTCTAAGATCCGGTAAGTGGCAAATCATCCTATTGTAAGTTGCCATCAGTCCGTTCTGACACAGGGCCCCGTGTGGGCAGACTGACCTGCTCTGGAGGGTTTTGCAGGCCTTCCAGAAGCACACCTTGCGGCCTGTCACTCCAGGCACCTCTGGGTGGTTCGGACCACCGGCCCTGTAGCTAGTTCAGTGCTCAACCATTCGCACCACCCAGGGGCTCCTACAAACCACTGTAGTGTAACCAAAGGAGCCCTGGTGGCGCAGTGGTTAAGCACTTAGCTGCTGTCCAAAGGTTAGCAGTCCGAACCCCTCCCCCGCTGCTCTCCAGGAGAAAGATGTGGCATTCTGCTTCCAAGACACTTGCAAACCCTGTGGGGCACTTCTAGTCTGTCTCAAGGGGTTGCTGAGCCAGAACTGACTCCGGTGCACAACTGCAAGCATGTAACCTAACACCATTGTGCTGAACTGTAAGCCTCTTTATTTATTGTGCTCTGCTGTAGTTAAGACGGTTGACACAGTGTTAAAAATATACTGTACTACTACTGTTTCTCTAAATGTAGACAGGAATCACCATTCTGTGTGAAAACTTGGGGCAGTCCTCAATGATCTTGGAGGTGTTAAGTAGCTTTGAGTGACACAGTGGAATGCTGTTCTTGCTTTACTTCCTTTCAATCCTGAGTGCTCTAACGTGTTACACGTTTCTGCCCACTGCACAACCTACCTTCCCTTTCCTGCATGTTATTTTTGTTAGTGTGCAGTGCCAATATTTTGTACAAGTTGCTGTCTTCAGTTTCCATTTCTGGTCACATGGAAACTTCACTTAAGGTAGGTATTATCGATTCAAATTAATGGAAACCAACACACGGTTTAGATTGTTTGTTTTCTAATTACTGGCAGAATACCAAACTTGACCTGGGACTTTGAGTATGGCTTGTGCTTTTATTGTACAAGTATGGTCAATTATTTTTAGACTATTTTTATGCACATAGCAGGAGATTAAAGAAAATGAATAGAAGGATATTACAGGATATACCTGTAATACAGTAATATGAATAAGGAAGGCACCCTGGTGGCAGTGTGATTAAAGCTTTGGGCCGCTAACCAAAAGGTGAGTGGTTTGAATCCACCAGCTGCTCCATGGGAGAAAGATGAGGCAGTCTGCTTTGTAAAGATTGGAAACCCTATGGGACAGTTCTACTCTGTCCTATAGGGTCCCTGTGAATCAGAATCGACTCAATGGCAGTGGGTATGGTAATATGGGTGGGTAAATGTGACTGAAATTCACTTCTGGAAATGTCACTAGACATTTGAGGTTGGTATATGTGTGGGTGTGTGAGGCCAGAACCCTTCTACTTAATTTATCATTTTTGTGCTTTAATGAGTGAGTGTATTATTTACATGGGCGTGTTATTTGTAGAAAAAGCACAGTACTCAGGGAGCACGTGTTTGTGCCCCTCTGGATTTCCAAGGGCCTTGGGGAATAGGGCTGACTGTGTGTGTCGTCTGCACAGGGGCACTGGCCAAGGTTAAGGTGTTCGGGAAGTGGCACAACGTGCCCAGGAAGCAGGCAACTTACGGCGATCCCGGGGTGACCTACTCGTTTTCAGGCCTCACTCTGTCTCCGAAGCCCTGGCTCCCAGTCCTAGAACGCGTTCGGGATCATGTTTCTCGGGTGACTGGACATACCTTCAACTTTGTGCTCATCAACAGGTGACACCTTACTTTTCACTTTTTTAGGTCACCTAAAATTTTACACGTCTGTCTCTTTCAAAGGAAGAAGTTAGGATTCATTTGTGCTACAAATACTTTCTTCACACACAGGGATGTTGTTGTTGTCAGTTGCCGTCAAAGTGATTCCAATTCCTGGTGACCCCGTGGGTTTCAGAGTAGAAGTGTGCTCCATAGGGTTTGCTTGGCTCTCATCTTAATGGAAACAGTTTGCTAGGCCTTTTTTCTGCAGCGCCTCTGGGTTTGAACTGCCAACCTTTAGGTTACCTCCAGTGCTGCTCTAACAGAAATACCACAAATGGTGGCTTTGAATAGTTTATTCTCTTAGTTTAGGAGGCTAGAAAGTCCGAGCTCAGAGTGCCAGCTCTAGGGTCTAGGTGAAGGCCCCTGCACCGTGGGCTTTAGCTCTGCCCCTTGCTCCTAGCCCAGCGGAGCTAGAGGCTTCTCTTAACTCAGGCAGCTGCTGGCTGCTGAGGCTGACAAACCCAAGGTCGACAAGTAAAATGGCACAGTCAGTATTATCAAACAACACAGCAGGCCACCAGTTCAAGTCCAGAGACAGTCCCAAGATCAGCAGACGACATGGCCAGCCACTCACTGATAACTCAGCCAAATGCAGGATCTAAGCGTGCCAAAAAAAGCTCAAAGACCTTTCTTAAAACTTCTCCTTATATACTGGAAGCAGACCACATCTCTAAGGCAGCTACTCAGCTGCTCCAGTAGATTCTGCCATGGTGTTGATGACCAGTCTCATCCTGGGGAATAACTACATCCAGCTGCCCAGCCACTCAAGACCAGCCCCAGCCAAGCTGACACATAACCTTAACTCCCACAAGCTCCAGCTGCTTGCACAACTTAGGGACGTGGCACATGGGACACAGCAGTGGAAATGCATGAGCCAAGGCAGTCTCCATGGTGCTCCCCCAACATTGAGAGGTGATTCAGTATACATCACAGTCACCAGTGTCTTGAAGGGAATTCAACAGGCTGGTTTGACTGAGAATGGCTAGGTGTGGGGTGTAGGGTGGGCTTCTCAGTAGCAGCCATGCTGACATTTGCAGCCAGATCCTTCTTTTTGGCGGAGGTTGCCGTGTGTGTGGTAGATGCTGACTAGCACCCCTCACCTCTACCCACCAGCTGCCAGTAACAACCTCCCCAGTCATGGCAACTACACGTCTCCACATTGCCCACTGCCCCTACGGAGAAGCCCTGGTTTAGGGGCGGTCACTTTAGATGAGGCAGTAGCGTTTGGGGCTAATCTCTGAATAGAGGGCAAGCAAGCCACAGAGACATCTGGAGAAAGAGCAGAGGCAGCTTGGCATGTCCAAGAGGCAGGAAGCGCCTCAGCACAGCTGGGAAGCAGTGAGGAAGGGTCTGGGATGAGCTTGGGGTGGGCAGCAGGCAGACTTTGTCAGCAGGGCACATGGATTGCTTCTGTGTGTAGGGAGAAGCCATTCTACGTGGTGTTTACACATATGAACCAGGACAACTGTGGCATGTTCTCGGTTTCTTTTGGTGTGTTCAGTTTTAAAGCACATGACTGGAATGACTAGATAACAAAGTGCAAATGCTGTGGGCTTGGCCCCTCTGTAGAACCTGAGAGAGACCCCACGCCCCCGCGGAGCCATGACAGTAATGGCTGTGCATGCGGCACCACGTCACATTGTGCAAGAAAATGGGGTCTGCGGGAAAGGGATGTTTTCAGGAGCTGGCTTGTCTTGTCATTGCAGGTACAAAGATGGCTGCGACCACATTGGCGAGCACCGCGATGATGAGCGAGAACTGGCTCCTGGGAGCCCCATTGCTTCCGTCTCCTTCGGGGCCTGCAGAGACTTCTTCTTCCGGCATAAGGATTCGCGAGGGAAGAACCCCTCCCGGCGGCTGGAGGTGGTCAGGCTCGCGCTGGCCCACGGAAGTTTGCTGGTGATGAGCCCGCCAACCAACACTCACTGGTATCACAGTCTCCCTGTGCGAAAGAAGATTCTGGCTCCGCGGGTCAATCTGACGTTTCGTCAGATTCTGCCTGCTAAGTAAAGATGTTTGTAACAGTGCTTCTGTTTTCTCTCTCCTGCTCTCTGCTAAGGGAGAGCTGATGTTTCTTGTACCTCGTGGGAACACACACGAGGTTCACCAAGGCCCAGGCCTTAATCCACAACAGAGGATGCTGTATCAGTCAGTAAACCAGGAGACAATACCAGTTTATTTTTCCTAACAAATGATTCTTTTATTGCTATAATACATGGCAGATACAAAAGGTACCTTTAGCAAAGACATAAACCAGCAGTTATCATGGCATAAACTACTAGTTTAACTTAGGTTTATGCAAAAAGCAGCTACCTTTGTAGATAATTTAAAACTGGAAACAGATCATTTGGCTGCTACTTGATTCCTAATAATTTACCAAATGAGGAAGTGAGCTTTAATCAGATGAAGACTTTGCACAGATATTGTTCACGTTTACAACCTTGGCTCAGCCCTGTCTTCTGACTAAAGGTCTGCTGAAATCTAAGCTGTAAGAGGATCACCCCTTTCAGCCTGTCATTGCCAATGGCAGATTTCAGAGTGAGCGGTGGCAGAAGAGCAGTTACTCAAAGCTACGGCTTTGGGGTGCAGCTCAGGGTCACATGACTGGGCAGTTACTCCACTAGACCCGGCTAGAACAGCATAGCCAGGGTCAGCCATGGAAGAAGGGCCATCAGCAATGAAGGGATCAGGTGGTCCTTTCACGCTAATGTTTGTGGCCCAGAGTTCCTTCACAGTATATCCGCTGAGAGCTAGTTACTAAGTCCTTCAGATGCCCCGGGGTCCGTGGCTTCTTGCACTTTCAGCTGACACCAAGGCACCTTCTTGGGCCGAGCAGCTCTCCACTGCCAGAGGTGGCACAGGGCTTCGCCTCCCCTCAGGTGACCATCTGGGTGGGTCCGATTCCCAACCTTACCTCTGCAGGGTCCGTTTGCATTTACCGTCCTTTTTCCCACCCCCCATAATAATAATAAAAAAAAAAAAAATCTAGCTACAACAGGTGACCCTGTGACTTGCTGTCGCGTTAATTCCAACTTACAGTTACCCTACAAGACAAGGGTAGAACTGCCTCATAGGGTTTCCAAGGCTATAATCTTCACAGAAGCTGACTGCCACATCTTTCTCCTGCAGTGTGGCTGGCTGAGTTAGAACCGCTGACCTTTCCATTAGCAGCTGAGTGCTTAAACACTGCACCACCAGGGCTCTGTAAAACACAGGTAGTAATCAAAGTCCCTCCAGCCCTAGGCTGCATTCCACGTTGTTGTTACGTGCCTTCGAGTCGGGCCCGACTCATAGCGACCCCTCCTTGGGTTTCTGAGGCGGTATCACTTCAGAAGTTGATTGCCCAACCTTCCTTCCGAGGAGTGGCTGGTGGGTTTGAACTGCCAGTCTTCTGGTTAGCAGTCAAGTGCCTTAGGCACTGCACTACCAGAGCACCTTGCACTTCAAGAGACATCTGAAAAGGTAGGGGAAATGCTCCATATATCCTTTGTGTGTTGGGTGACTGGAAACAATGCAGGGAAACTTAAAATAGGGCCATATGATAAACCAAGGAGAGCAAAGCAGTACTGGTCGTCAGCTGGAGCTGTGTGCTTAAAGAGAAACCAGAGCCGCTGCCTCCTCTTTATGGGAAGGGCGGGGCTTTGATGGTCACCCCTCACTTCACAAGTGAAACAGGTCCACATAGGCTGCGGCCCTCGCTGTGTCCTGTCCTGCTGACCCAGCCCTCAAATCGAGGTGGGGACTGTGTGTTCACACAGGCTCAACCTGAAGAGCTCTCCATGGGCAGCAATAAATAAACAGATGGACACAACCGCCCACAATGGATGCCCGTGTACTGAAGAGTCTTTTAAGAGCGGTGGGGTCCTTGGTGCTGCACGGGAAGTGCTCGGTTGTGGCTACTCGCACAGATTATGTTAAAACCACCTCTCCCAGAGTCCACAGACAAAAGAGAAAAGTGACAGGTAAGTGTGTCGCTCGAACTGACAAAGCAGTGAACGACCGTCTCGAGGGGCCAGTTTGGCAGGTGTCTCTTTACTAAGTATAAAGAATCGAAAGATTAGAAAAAGACGTACAAAAAGGGAAGGCGTGTGTTCTTCAGGCCTCTGATCTGGTGTAAGCTCTCCGCTGAATAACTGAAGGAACAGGGCTTTTTACAAACAGTTCCAACACCTCCAAGCTAATGTTTCCAGAACGGACATGCTACAAAAGCAATCACGAATGAAAGGCACTTTTTCTTCTTAGTTTTGCCTTTAATAACTCTGCTGGTTCTTGCCAACATCGTTTAGGCCTGCTCATTAAAAAAGAACTATCCTGAAACATCAGGGGGTTAGCCAGGTCTGACTCCCCTTGGAAAACACTGAACATCCCACGATACAGAAGAGGGCTCCTGAAGTCTGACTTCTTTTGAATCACCTGTACCAGGCAGTACAGAGGCTCTAGACGTGATTTCCTACCGCGATGACAATGCTTCTCAGCGTGTGCTCACACAGCTGTGCAGGGAGCCTGGCGTGGCCAGAATTGGGGCGCTGGCCCCCGTGTGGAGCCTACTCTTAGAACACACTGGAAGGCTGAAGGACTCTGGGGGGCTGCCTGTGTCACACACACACACAGTATGACTTCGCTTCTCTCCTGAACGGTGTGGGCAGCTGCCTCGGCTCTCCTCGGGCTGGACGGTCACTCCTCAGACTTGTACTCCTGGCCCTGGTGCTGCATCCTGGAAAGCACACGCTCATAGAAGAGCAGGTAAGCACTGGCAGACAGGACCTCCTGCAGGCTGGCCCTGCGGACAGTGTCATCAGAAACCCACAGCCACTGGTTGCTGGTGGCAAGAGGGTTCTTGGCTGAAGGTGGGGACCGTCGGTAAGTCACAAAGTGTCCAGAATGCATGTCTCCATGGTGGACGACAACTGCCATCAGACGGAAGAGGTACGTGGAAGAGCTGGAAGGCAGGGACAAAAATAATAAAGAGGCTTTAGAGGGGGCAACAAAAAAGAAAAGAATCCTAGATGTTCAATGAAAGGGGACTAACACAATGGTACAGCCACGTAACTGAGTACTATCAAAAACCAAACCCACTGCCATTGAGTCAATTCTGACTCCTAGTGACCCTAGAGGACAGAGAACTGCCTCATAGGGTCTCCAAGGCTGTAAATCTTCATGGAAGCAGACATCTGTCTCCTGTGGAGTGACTGCTGGGTTTGAATCACCTACCTTTTGGTTAGCAGCCCAATGCTTTAACCGCTGCACCACCAGAACTCCTTCTCAATATTATACAACCATTAAAATACAGATCTATATATTTAGTGGCATGGCAAGATGTCCACTCTGTGTGTATGTGAGTGTGTGTACGTGAGTGTGTGTATGTGTGCACACTCATAACTTAGCATGGGAGACCCTAAAGATTTAACTGGTTGTCTCTAGATGGTATCTTCAGAAGTTGAAGCTTTCCTTTATAATTTATACGTAACGTATACATGCATACACACGCAACACATACACATATTTAGACTTTACCTATTTTTATAATTCTTAAGGTGGTTTCCATTTTGGATAAAAATGAACAGGGCAGCGTACTGTTATTGGTTGCTGCCGACTTGACTCTGACTCACGGTGACCCTGGGTGTTACTGACTACAACTGCCCCTCAGGGTTTTCTTGGCTGTCAACTATACGGAAGCAAGCTGCCAGGTCTTTTCTCCCTCAATGTCACTGGGTGGGTTCAAACCTCCAACCGTTTGGTTTCTACCACCCAAGGATCTTGGGGAACGTATAACACAGTAAAATTCCATTTTAAAATGAAAGAAAAATTAAAGTTTACATCGATTTATCTCAGCGAAAAGCTTATTTCTGAAATGCAGACAAGCATTTGCATGAATGAAGACTCTTCTTGGAGTGGCTCACCTGCAGTCGGGAACGCCCGGGAGAGGAAGAGCCATCGGGGTTGGCAGGGGCGGCAGTAAAGATGGGGAGCAGGCGCCATTCATGAACACTTGTGTTGTGGGGGCCCCTGGCTGAATGAGAACTGCAAGAGAAAAAGGCCTGAGGCAATTAAAATAAGCAGTGGCTCTGGGTAAACAATATTACTTCATTTTGTATCATATTGATCCATAAGATTTCCTACATTTGTGTCCCTCTTTTAATCCCAATAGGAGACTGTATCTGGTTCCTGCTAGCTTTGACAACCCCGGATCATTGAGAATCCTATCCATTTGCTAAAGACATGGGTCAAAGTGAAGCAGGCTACTGCTTCTGACCTAACGAAGGTCTCTCAGCCTTAGCACTACTGCTGGATAATTCTTTGTTGTAGTGGCTGTCCTATGCATTGTAGGGTATTAAGGAGCTCTGGCATCATAGTGGTTAAAGCACTTGCCTGCTATTCAAGAGGTTTGCAGTTCAAACCTAACAGCTGCTCCACAGGAGAAAGATGAGGCAGTCTGCTTCCTTAAAAATTTACAGCCTTGGAAACTCTACAGGGTAGTTCCGCTCTATCCTGTAGGGTCACCATGAGCTGACTCAATGACAGTGGTTTTTTTTAAGTAGTATTTCTGGCCTCTACCCACTAGATGCTCATAGCACCCCACCCACAGCTGTTGTAACAACAAGCATGTTCAGACTATGTTCCCTGGGGGGCAAAATTTTCTCCCTGTTGAGAATGACCAATCTAAACAGTATTCCTTCAATTCTGTCAACTCCTAAGGAATACTAACATGTAATGATATTAATACACGTTTGTGGGCATAGATAAAAAATTAAATACTTTTCTCTCTTTTCAAGTGTCCTATCTGGGGGCGTTAAAATACCAGGAAGTTCACTGTTGGCCTTTTAAACAGTCACCATGGTTTGTGAGCAGATGTGCACCCCAGCTGGGAGAAGCAGCTGGGGTGAAGAGGTACTTGCTTGAAAACAAGGGCCAAGGGCTGTGTCCTCTTCCTGCCTAGCCACTTCCTTAATATTAATCAGCTGACCTGCCCCAGGAGCGGCAAAATAGTCTCCCCGAAATGATGCTTTGCCAGGCCACTCAATGGTGGCTGCAAAAAAGAACAAAGAGGGGTCGGGTTGGGTCTGGGTCGGGGAAGGGGGCGAGGTGCAGGGAATAAAATCCTGACGTCACTGGAAGCAGCATGTGGGTGGTAAGTTTACACTTGGAGCCTTCAAGTCGCTAGGGTTTTAGGTTCCTCGCCTCAGTATCTTATTTAAGACACAATGCACTCTGGCACCAGTTCCCCCATGTGCCGTTTGCCCCGGACCAATCCTTGAACCTCTCGGAGCCTCCATGTTTTCTTCAGTTAGACTGAGTGATAAGAGCTACCTTGCTTCACTGGAGGATGCAAATGGTTAACGAACGCAACTGCTGACTGAAAGGCTGGAGGTTCACCTTTCCCCAGAGGCACCTTGGATTTCTGAGATACTAGCCACTGACAGTGCTATGGAGCACAGTACACCCTTGGGGTCACAAAGAGTCAGACTCCACGTGATGGCAACTGATTTGGTTTCAGTTGCTTCCCTGGTGCCAAATTTACCCATCAACCTTCAATGAGGACAGTAATGGAATTACGGTAAGCACAGAGCTCAGGAAGGAATCAGTATCAACACAAGACCCTCAGTGATCTGCAGCTAGGACAACTCCTGTCTAAACGAGACAACTGTATTGCAAGAAGGGAGAAAGAAACTCACTGGAATAATGGGATGTGAGCTGGTTTTTTTAGTCAAAAGACCAGAAAATAAGAAAAATGACACTTTTCCTCTAATGCTTTTTCATTTGTAAAATAGCTTTAGAAACTGTACATTTCAACATCTTTAAGAGATCATCCCTGTCCTACCCAATCCTTCTGTTCTCAAGACTCTAAGCAGCCAGAACACAAGCCACTCCTTCCCATCACAGAGGACCAGAGGGGGTGGTGCCGACACTCTGCTCTCGGCTACAAACTCCTCAGGGCATTGGGCTCCGCACACCTGGCTCAAGGGCAGCCGGTCTGCCCTGCAGCTCTAACGTGGGCCCCGCGCCATCCTTCGGTTTTGGCTTGTGTCCAAGGAGGCGGTACTTGTAGATGTCCATCATCAGGAACTCGTTGAACTGCACGTGCTCGTGCCGCTTCAGGGGCGCACCGTGACTGGACCAGCTCAGTCTCTGCAGGTGGATGCACAGGCACTGAGGGAGCTGTGGGGGAAACAGTGGAGCCGTTTAGGGAGTGGGACACACCATGTGTGTGAAGCCAAGCCACCAAGGTGTGTGGGGTGGGCTCACCTTCCCCAGTTTTAATTGTTTGACAAAAGTAGTCCTCTGGTGCTCCACCTTCTCTCCATTCAATGTGCCTTTGGCTTCAATCTGAAATAAAAGCAGCAAAGATGCTCGAAGGAGGGCGTCTGTGGAGAGCTGCAGGTCAGCCAGCGTTATGGCTGTGTTCACCTGTGCTTGACACAGTGGGACCCAGGTGACGCATGTTTCATTTAAGGCATTGCACTTCCACCTGGCAATGAAGTTAGCTGCAGTTACTTGTGAACTGCTGTCACTGACCCCTCTTGGCCTAAATCACACTAACAGTGGAGGAAAGAAGAAAAGAAGGACCACTGATCAACACTGAAACCCTGCTGTGGTCATGTAATCTAGTTTGTTCCGTCTTAAAAAATTCTGTTCCACACCTATTGTCATCAAGTTGACTATAACTCATAGAGACCCCTATAGGACAGAATTAAACTGCCCCATAAGATTTCCAAGGAGCTCTGGTAGCACAGTGCCTAAGGCATTTGACTGCTAACCAGAAGGCTGGCGGTTCAAACCCACTAGCCACTCCTCAAAAGGAAGGCTGGGCAATCTACTTCCATAATACTGCCTCAGAAACTCAAGGAGGGGTCGCTATGAGTCAGGTCTGAATTGATGGCACATAACAACAACAACACAGGATTTCTAAAGGTGTAATTTCTACAGAAGGAGCCCTGGTGGTACGGTGGTTAAGCGCTTGGCTGTGAACTGAAGTCAGCAGTCTGAACCCACCAGCTGCTCTGCAGGAGAAAGCTGTGACAGCTTCCATAAAGGTCACAGTTTTGGAAACTACGGGACAGTTCCACTCTGCCCTGTAGGGTAGTATGAGTTACAATTTACTTGATGGCAATGGGTTCAGCTTTTGGTTTTAATCTTTACAGAAGCAGACTGCCACATTTTTCTCCTGCAGAGTGGCTAGTGGGTTCAAACCCCTGACCTTTTGGTTAGCTGAGTGCTTAACCACTGTGCCATCAGGGTTTTTTTTTATTCCACACCAAAAACCAAACCAAACTCATTGCAACCAAGTTGATTACAACTCACTGCAATCCCGATTGGGTTTCCAAGGCTGTAGATCTTTATGGAAATAGATTGCCTCATCTTCCTTTTGTGGAGCAGCTGGGGGGTTTGAACTGCTGACCTTCTGGTTAGCAACCAAATAAATGCCTTACCCACTGTGGTAGTTAAGGTTGTGTGTCAACTTGCCTGGGCCTGATTGAGTGGCTGGGCAGCTGGTGGTAGTTATTCTCCATGATGAGATTGGCAATCAACTCCACGGTGGGATCTACCATAAGCAGCTGAGTAGCTGCTTTAGGGATGTGTTCTGCTTCCCATATATAAGAAGCATCTTTGGGGATGGTCTTTAGCTTATGGCATGCTTGAAACCTACATGTAGCCATGTTGTTGTTCAGCAGTCTGCTATGCTCTGCCGATCCTAGGACTTTCAATGGACTGGAATCAATGGCCTGTCATGTGGTTTCATAACATCGGGACTGTACCATTTGTCGACCTTGGGCTTGTTAGCCTCAGCAGCCAGTAGCTGCCTGAGTGAAGAGATGCCTCTAGCTCCAGTGGGCCAGAAGCAAGAGGCAGAGCTAAAGCCCAAGGTCGAGGGGCTTTCACATAGCCCCTAGAGCCCAGCAATTTGAACTCGGACTTCTAGCCTCCCAAACTATAAGAGAATAGACTCCTGTTTGTTCAACCCATCCCATTTGTGGTATTTCTGTTAGAGAGGCACTGGGTAACCAGAACACCCACTATACCACCAGAGCTCCTTCTAGTCTACACAGTTCCTCTTAAGGTGAAATTCAGTTGCATAGGTTGGGGTCAGGCTAGTTATATAGGTAAAAGGCATGAGGGGACTGTGACAAACTAGACAGCAGGTCCCATCTCAAAGCATGGCATGGACACTTTTTCTTTAAGTGTTCTGTGAGTGAAACAAAACTCATGGGGGAAAAGACATCTGGTTCATGGGCTGCCAATTTCCAGACCAAGTTAGGGAGAAATGGCTGCAGCTGAGAAGATCTATTAGGTGGGGTCAAAACTGTCAGGGCCAACAGTGTGAGAAGCTCTATATGAGGACACACAGGCCAGCCAGTGGTGACAGCTGAGGGCAAATGCATACCTTTGTACAGTTGTCACACACGACATCCCGCACGGATTCTGATGAGATGAAGTGGTGCAGGCAGTGGTCCAGGGTCAGCGGGTGACCCTACAGCACAAAAAGGAGGATAAGAGTTATTGCAATTCAGTGGGGAGCTACTGTGAAACTGTTACCAGACAGCAAGGGAAGCCCACACCACCAGATGCTTCCTGAACAAACAAGGCACTCCAAACACTCCAGACTTGCTATTCTGACAGGCTCACAAGTATAAGGAAGCAAGCTGCAGAAAAGTATGGCATTCCAAATGGTCTTAAATATCTTTGAACTCGAGATTCATACAAATACACATGTACAATCACAAAAGCTAAAACCTATTTCCCCTATTCAGCTATAGTACCCAGCTGCTGTCATGCTGATTCCACCCATGGTGACCCCGTGTGAGAGTAGAACTGTGCTGCCTAGGGTTTCTGATGCCGGATTTTTCAGAAGTAGGTTGCCAGATCTTTCTGCTGAAGCACCCCGGGTGGACTTGACCCACCAACCTTTTTGTGAGTAGCTGAGTGCGTTAACCATTTGCATTACCCAGGGTCTCCTCGGGCCCTAGTACCATATTCAAGCTAAGTGGGGGTTCAAATGACCATGTGTCTGAGTAACACACAGCACCTAAGTCCCATAACATGTCTAACAGGCCTATTTAAATGTCTCTGAAAGACTCAAAATAAACCATAGATCAGTACATACCCATGTGGCAGCTGGAATACTTAGTGAAAGGCTATCAAAGGTATCAAATCGAACAGGACTCTGAAATAAACATTGCAGAAGCTCAGGAAAGGTTTCTGTGTGAGGATTTATAAACAGCAAGGTTTATCTATGGCTATAAAATAGTCTAATGTTTAGATACCCAACATTAAAATAATACTAATTTAAAATTTAGAAGCAAATTCTATTAAAAAGACAATCTCATACTAAAAGGCTAATGGGTAGCCTGGAAACACTAAAAGATTCCATATCTCCTAGGAAATACCCAAGGACAGAGCTCCAGAGATGCTCATCACAGCACTGTCTACAATGGCAAAAATGTGGGCAGTGTCATTTTCTAGGGGACAGTTAAATAAGGGCACAGCTACAGAACAGAATATTATACCACATAATGTAGTAGGATGGAAAGAAATACAAGGAAGAAAGACTAGAAAGGAAGAAGTAAGGCTTGTACTCACAGACAACACAATTTGTTTACAGACATAGCAAATTCTAAGGAATTTTAATAAAACTTCCTTGAACCAATTTAAGGGAATTTTTTCAAGGTCTCAAGATACAAGGTCAATATATAGACATTAACCATGTTTCTATATATTAGTAGCAAACAAATGCAAAATAACATTTTTAAAAATCCATTCACAATAGCATCAAAACATAAAATAATTAGGAACAAATTTAAACCTCAATGTTAAAAAGCACAAATGTTGACATGAAATTAGACTGAAATAAATGGAGACACATAACACGTTCATAGATTAGAAAACTTGATACTGTAACATGTCAGTTCTCCTCAAACTGATCAATGTAGTCCCAATCATAATTCCAGCCAGGCTTTCTATAAAATATCCATTGACAGCTGACTCTGTAAGGTCTATGGGAGAAGGCAAAGCTCCTCCTCATAAAGCAAAATGAACAAACAGAATGATGGGATTAGAAGTAAAACAACACAAATGTCCACCAACTGATGAATGGATAACCAATAGTCAGTAGATCCATACAATGGACTATTATTCAGTCACAGAAAGGAACGGACTGCTGATACCTGATACAATAAGGAAGAACCTTGAGAGCAACGTGCTAAGTTAAAGAAGCCGGTCACAGCAGATCACATACTGCATGATTCCACTGACAGAAATTGTCCTGAACAGGTAAATCCACAGAGACACAAGGAGATTAGTGGTTGCCTCGGGCAAGGAGTTTGGGCAGAGCCAGGGAGTTACTGCTAATGCATCAGCAGTTTTCTGATACATGACAAAAATGTTCTCCAACTGACTGTGGTGACCAATATATGTGTCTCTACTTTTGTACTATGTTGGACATTTTATAAAATAAACATTGATTTAAAAACCTCAAAAGAAAGACATAAAAACCAGCCCCAGGATGTGTCCACTGTGAACACAGATCCAGCTAACGTCTGGAAACCCTGCCAGCCCACAGTGGGTTTGTTGCTTCTGGTGCAGAAGTGCCATCTGAGGACTACATGACATGCTGGCAGCGACTAAAGTGGGGCAGTCAGTCCTGAGAGTGCAGAGCCCACGGCAGTCACAACCTTGTACACTGGTATCGGCCCCTGCGCTCTAGACCCTCTCATGAATCTTAAAAGAAAACCTCACCAGACACTATCCAGTACTGGACTGGCCTTACCTGGTGTTCACAGTGTTTGCAGACCATGTTACTTGTAAGTCTTCCATGGAAAGGGTGTTGAGACTTCCAGTGACTGGATGTGGGGTGAGGTGACCCTGGAATACAAACCATCTTTGATAAGCCACCTTTAACCCTTTTGAGTCAACCTCAAAATTCACCCTCTTGTTTTCGTATGTGGTAGAAATGCCCTCTTTAGGGAGGAAAAAAAATTCCTGAAAAGTAAAGTGAAGTATCTTCTTCCTAATTGTCTTCTATTAAAGAAGACATCCCATTCCTGTCTAGGGAATAATTCACAGGAGAATTCTTACAGGTCTCTAAGTGTGGTTTCTGTACAATGGGCACAGTCATAATGAAAAAGGAAGTTGTGTTAACTAACATCTTACAGACATTTGCTTCAAATATTTGAGATGTCAAAAGAAGCACAGCACAAGAGAACGTTCAATAAAGTGATACCAACGGCTGAAACGATCAGAACAAACATGGGCCGGAACACTGAGATTTTCTTTGGCAGGGGTAGGTAATACACACAGCATAGACAGGAACAGGGGCGCCAGAGTCCAGCAGCCTGGGCTCAGACTTGGCTCTGCTTCTTATTAGCTCTGTCACTGGGAAGGTACTTTATCCCTGTAAGCTTCAGTTGGCTGGAAAGGGGGATAATTATTATTCCATTATCCCCCATATCCTCACTTCACAGAGTTTCTGTGAAGCTTAAATGAGATATGATAGAGGCCGGCAGACAACATGGTCTCAAAAAGTATCAGTGTCTGTTAATGCATGGTTAAGTGCTACACTGCTAACTGAAAGGTCAGAGGTTTGAACCCACCAACCGCTCTGTGGGAGAAAGATGTGACAGTCTGTTCCATGATGATCATGGCCTTGGAAACCATATGGGTTTCTAACGCATCATACAGAATTGTTATGAGTGGAAAAAGGAGCCCTGGTGGTGCAGTGGTTAAGCATTAGGCTGCCAACCACAGGTTGGAGGTTGGAACCCACCAGATGCTCCACGGAGGAAAGCTGTGGCAGTCTGCTCCTGTGACGATTATAGCCTTGGGAATCCTATGGGGCGGCTCGACTCTTCCCTACAGGGTCACTAGGAATCAGAATCGACTCACAGCAAAAGGTATTATTAATGCACAAAGAAATCAATGCATTAATTTTATTTTTAAAGCTTAAGCCTTAGAAAACACTAATTTCCTTCTAAGGAGAACTGTGACCATTTTCCGTAAAAGCTGGCTGGTGTGGGAATGCTGAGGACATGACAGAGTTGGCCTCTTAAGACTTCACAGGATCAACTCAAGAAGGCAGAAAGCAAGCCCTTGTGTAAGGTACAAGTAACTCTGTAAAAGGGAACTGAGCAGAGATAGGGTGTAAGAGAACAATTCAAGATGGTCACCAGGGAGTAATTTAAACCCATCTCCAAAGCACAAGTTCCTCTGCAAGTACAGCACGTGTTCAAGCTGGACGGGATGTCACCAGGAGAAAGAAATAATTAAGAACAAGCCAGTGATTTTCACAGCTAGAGCGTATGCACTGTGTGTGTAACAATATCAATGGAAAACAGCTACCTCTTGTGCGACACGTTATCTGTTTCGGGATGCTTTCTGACTGCTGCTGTAAGAAAAACAAGAGACAGACTGAGAACCCGCTGCAAGCCCTGCGAAACCTGCCCGCCCCTGAGGATTCACACTTCTGAGCTGACTGTGCCACTTAAAGATCTACTTCTTCCAAAAGCCCATGTCTTTAAAGTAGCCTTAATCATCCACTCTGGTTGATTACTGTCCCTTCTGCAAATGCAACGGGAATGGATTTCCCTCTTTGGAGTATTTCTCACCCTTTTTATCAGTTCATGAGACATTTCTGCTGTTTCAGGGAAATGCGGATGAGTTTAGCATTCCCCTGGCTCCTTGTTCCCCTTGATTAAACTTGGAGAAGGGACGACACATATTCTTTCTCCTCAAAGCCAACACAAAGTGCAGCAACGAGTCATTTAAAGCACGCTGACATTCCTCACAGAGCCACCACCTGCAAAGAAGGCACCTTTGTACCCTCCCCCAGCCTACTTCCGGCTGCTGCTGACTCTAACTTTTGAGTTTAAAGTTGTTCAAAGGTTTCACTGTGTTGCGTATACCATTAAATGCCAACAAGCTGCACCACGTGTGCGGACCCTCCTAAGGGCTTACCTCCAGAGAGTGCACATCAAACAAATGCGTGACCCGGGGCTGGCGCTCTCGCTCATCTTCCAATGATGAGGTTATCACGTGGAAGAGCTCATGAGCATCCTGTCAAAGGGTAGAGCATTTTTCAGAAAGGGTGGGCTGGGTGGCATCAAGACATCCCTGCACGAGGCCCAGGCTACGATGGGAGGTGGTGGTCTCCGCTGCCAGGTCTAGAAAGTTCGATTTGATGTGCTGCCTCTCAGTGGAAACAGCCCCTTCTGGTTACTGTCTGGCAGTGATTTCAGACTGCTGCTTCAGCCCCTGTGGGCAGATTTTGCTTTCTACCATTTTAAGGAGGAGCCCTGGTGGTGCAATGGTTAAGTGCTCGGCTGCCTACTGAAAGGCTAGCAGTTCAAACCCATCCAGCCAGCAGTGCTTGGATGTGGGGTGAAGTGACCCTGGAATATAAACCATCTTTTGATATGCTACCTTTAGTCCTTTGGAGCTGACCTCAAAACTCCTCCTCCTGTTTTTAGCATGTGGTAGAAAATCCCTTGTTAGGGCAAAACTATTCCTGAAAAGCAGACTGAAATAGCTTTCCTCACTGACTTCGCCCAAAAAAAGACATCTTTTCCTGTACAGGAAAGACCTGGCTATCTGCTCCTGTAAAGATTAAAAAAAAAAAAAAAAAAAAGTCCGCTGCCATCAAGTCAATTCCGCCTCTCAGCAGATTACAGCCTAGAAAACCCTATGGGACAGTTCTACTGTCACATGAGGTCGCTATGAGTCAAAAACTGACTTGACGGCACCACCACCAACGCAAGGCCCAGCTGTTTGCACAAACAGACTCTCGACCGAAAGGCCCAAGAGAGTGACGGGAAGAAAGCAAGGGCCAGCTGTCTCTGAGCCTGTTTTAGTTTTCCTGAGGCGGCCCTAACGTGCAATCCCCGACCCAAACAGGGCAGCTCTGTAAGGATCAAAGCCATCCTTCAGTCCTCTGGGGCAGCCGGGGTCCCCCTCTCCTGAAGGCTCCGAGCCCTGATTCCACTCCCCAGGATACTGCCAACCTGACTACAGATCACCACTGTCCCCGCCCCCAAACTGCAGCCACCACCAACTCTTTCCAGGGTGCCAGCCTCATGGGCTCTCGGCTCCCACTCTTGGCCTCCCCCACCCGGCACAGCGTCTAGAGGGATCATTTAAAATGTAATGTTACCCTTCAGCTTTCAGCCTTCCCATGGCTTTCACTAATAGAGAAAGCCACTCCCCTTCTTAGCTGGCCCCTGCCCAAGGGCCTGGCCTTCCTCCTGAGCTCTCCCTGCCTCACTATGCTGCAGTCCTTGGCTCTTTTCAGTTCCTCAAACCCATGGAGCGTCTCCTTCTTCTCAGGGTCTTTGTACATCATACATCTTGGCCTGAGAAGTGCTTTGCCCAGATCCTCCCATGGCTGCCCCTTTTCAGCCTCAGGTCTCGCCTGAAATCATGCTCCTCAGGAAACCCTCCCTGAGCAACTATCTGCCTCCACACCCCTCAACCCCACTCCCTAGGCAATTCAACAGAAGTATGCCAGCTCCACCTCCAAGTTACACCCCGAGTCTTGACAGGACTGTCCATGCTCTGAATCCACCTTAGTGGAGCCGCCGCCACCTCTGGCCTGATCGCTGCCCCAGCCTCCCAACTCTCCTCTCGGCTTCTGTTCCTGCCTCCTGCGGTTCTTCCTGCACACACAACCAGAGTGGCCATCTTCAGACTTAAATCAGAACCAACCAGGCCCCTAATGGCCTTCCACCCCATACAGAACAAAAGCTAGACTCTTGTGGCCTCCAAGGCTCTGCATAACCTGTTCCCCGCTGCACTGTGCAAACTCTCTCCTCCTCTCCTTCAACCAGCAGCCATGCTGTTCTCCAAACAATGCCTCCTGGCAGCCACTAGAAGGCACCTGTTTGGCTTCTTCTACTCTCTGGAGCACTGGGCGCCCAGACCGCACAGGCCTCGCTCCTTGGTACTTGAGGGCTCAGCTGCAGTCTCCTCTCTGCGGCAGAGCCCTCCTGTCTAAAGTCGCCTCCCCACGACTGCTCTCCTTGTCACCAGCCCCTGACCCTCATGCTTCATCACACGATCCTGTTTTAATTTTCCTGACAAACCGAATCAAACCCACCGCCACTGCACTGATTCCAACTCAGAGTAACCACACACAATGGAGTAGAAAAACTCCATA